ACCCGGAGCAGCAGGTACCCGGAGTCTCCGCGCCCTGGGCCGCTTGGGGAGAGTTTAAAGGAGGGGGGTCCAACCCCCCCCCCCCCCCCCCCCGCCGCACCCCGCCCCCCCCGAGGCCGCCGGGGGCGCCGCGGCCCCCCCGGGGGGCGGGTGCCACCCCCCCCCCCCACCCCCCCCCCCCAAGGCAGGACCCTCGGGGGACCCCCTCCATCCCAGGGCCGGGGTCTCTCTCCAACCTTGGCCGCCTTAAGACTTGTGGCCTTCAACTCCCAGAGTCCCTCAGCCAGCAAAGCCAAGGCTGGAGACCCCCCTCTGCCCCTAGCGGAGGTTGGGGTGAGTGAGAATCCCTGGGGGGGCAGGTGTTGAAGCTAAGCCCCCCCTGGCTAGGCTTGAGTTACTTATACATTAATAAAGGCAGGATAAAAATCTGATAAATTCAACGTAGGTCATCAATAAAGCTTTAACACAAATGACCAATAGAATGAGGTAGAAACCAAAATTAAATAGTAGAAATTGATACTGGTTTTTGAATACTTTTTACAGAATGCCTGAGTCTCAAGGTAGTTTACAAACAAACTCATGTAGTAAACTCATGGAAGCAACATTCATAATATAACGCTGTCCTAAATCAATGCAAACACCTTGTGGGAAAGTAAAGTCTTGAATTGCGCTGTATGGCCCAAACATCCTTAGGGATGTTCCAAACTGGGCACAGCCACAGAGATGATTTATTAATGGGTTTATTTCAAGAGGGTGTACTTCCTCTTGGCTGAAAAGATAGCCGCTCCCCACTTCATCCTTTGGTCAGTCAGGTTGTGGCCATGCAGTCATTGGCAGTAGATGCTCAGGGTGCCTCTTAATAGCTGCAATACAACCACTTAGAAACACAGAGAAACTTGGTGATTAGTTTGAAAGTTTGATTAGTCTTTTGGTGAGAATTATGCTGTCAGCTACTGATCTTTATTCCTCCCAGCCTGGTGGTAGTTTAAATTGATCAGGCCATTGATTTTAATTGCTTATAATGTGCCTCTTTTGAAACTATTTTGTATTTGAAGACAGAGGTCTGGTGACTATATTTTATTATTTAGGGTGTCTCACCTTTTATGGTTCTTCTGTTTATGTTTTTGATTAAACCATGATTTCTAAACCTCTCCTTGATAGATTACAGGTGGTCCTCAACGTACAACAGTTCATCTAGTGACCGTTACAATGGCACTGAAAATAGTGACTTATGATCATTTTTCACACTTATGGCCATTGCAGCCTCCCAATGGTTGCGTGATTTACATTCAGAAGCCAGACAACTGACTCATTTTTATGACAGTTGCAGTGATTCATTTAACAAATATTGGCAAGAAAAGTCAATAAATGGGACAAATTCACTTAACAAATTTTTCACTTAACATACATTTTGTGCTCAGTTGTGGTCGTAAGTTGAGGATTACCTGCATTTCCCCCCCCCCCTCCCAAAAAATGTGTGCATGGAATATCAAACGCAGATGTGTGCTTGACAGACCTCCTCCCCCCCGCCCCCCAGGGGAAGCTTCCGGTCAGTCCTCGCAGGAACCTTCAGTACGGCTGGACTGCGTATGTCCTGGGAGACAGAGCCAGTGCCAAGTTCACTGAACACAGCAAAATCTTCACAGTGGAGGGCAATCTGTACTCCGGCACAGCGAAACTCGCCCAACAAGTGGCAGAAACCCTGGGTAGGTAATGGGCCGCTGGATGTACAGGTACAGGCCGCTGGATGTACTCTGCATTGTACAGGTAGTCCTCGAGTTACGAATGTCATGGAGCCTGCCAATGACGTCCGTAAACGGAGGATTCGTAGGGGTGAATCATGTAACTTGAATGTGATCACTCCCTGCTCCTGCCCACCCCTTCAGTAGTCGAACGCACCGGTCTTTAAGTGCACGAGGTATCTCAGGGAGGGGAAGGCCATGCGGGGGAGGAGGGGGCTAATGCTTCCAACCACCCAAGGCCTCCCCCGGCCCACTGAGAGATCTCACCTTGCCTGACTGGGTCCCTTGCCCTACGTAGATCTTGAGGATCCACAGAGCCGACTCCCTTCCAGCCTCTCTCTTCTCCTTGAGCCAAATGCAAGCCTTGGCTTCACCCCTGAGGCCTGCAGGGGTGAGGGTTGCGTCCCTCAACCCTCCTGTCGCCTTTGCAAAAAGCCTTTTTGGCCGACGGGAACGGAGCCCGGAGTGGAGCAGGCGTCGTCCCTTTCCTCAGGGGGATAAGAGAGAGTCCCTGCCTAAGGCTTCCAGGGGGCTGAGAGGACAGGAAATGGCACCTGTGTACACACAGATAACGGCTGTGGCTTTCATAGTAGAGTACAGGCAGTCCTTGACTTCAACAGTTCATTTAGGGTACAGGTACAAAGGTACAATGGCGCTGAAAGTGGGGACTTATGACCATTTTTCACACTTACAACCTTGGCAGCATCCCAAGGGTCACGTGATTTGCATTCAGATGCTTGACAACTATACTTGTGACAGTTGCAGTGTTCAGGAGTCCTTGTGTGACCACGACAGCCCTCATAGATAGGAAGCAGTGGGTGCAGTGTGGCCAGACTGTCATAAAACGGCCACGAGTCCCTTTTCCCAGTGATGATGCGACTTTGAACAGTCACTAAGTGAACTGCTCCAAGTCGAGGGTTACCTGTACTTTTTCAGAAGAGGCTTTTCTTCCTCTGTAACAAGAAGAGGATTGTCTCTTCCAAGAAGACAATTTCACCTGAATCTGGGAAGAATTTAATTCTCTGCATCAGAAAATATTTGGCCTTTTTGATGTTCTTTGCAGGTTTGCGGTATTTCCCAGAAACCAGTATTCATTTGTTAGACCGGTTGACGGGAGATGGGGAAAAACTAGATTTAAAATATAATGGCAGTTGCTACTTGGAGACCTTTTACAACGAGCCTATGCATCCGAACGGAAACTCTTACCGGCTTCAAGTTTGGATGTACTGTTCCCGCTTCCTACAGTACGTTGAAGCTCTCGACCATCTCTTGAGTACAGGTAATCTCCCAAAATGTCATTAACGTAAAGAAGTGAAGCCAATAACCACTGGGATTGCTCTGTGTAACAATGTCACTGCCTGAGCTGCTCGGTTTGTGGCCAGGTTGGTGATGCTTATGGTCTCAGGGACGTCAACCTGCCCTCTCTGGGAATGGGGCCAGAGGTCCCCCCCTCTGGAGCTCGTGGCCACCCGGACAGCCGTAGTGGGACTGTCCCGGATCATCCGGATGCTGATCATCCAGCGATCATGGATTTAAGGGAGATAGTGTTTCTCCCCTATCCCGGTCAGGTCACTGCCTAGTAAGCTTGCGGTTCTCTGGCATCAACCCCAACCGTAGGGAGGATGGATTGGTCCACCTCAGGACTCCATGGGTTTCAGAGGGAGCTCGCAGTTGGTCCAGACGTGGCCATGCTTGCGGACATGCTGCACGGCCTGACGAAACTCTGGTGGCTGCTTGCGACTTTGAATTGGATTGCACCTGAGCAGCCTCTGCAGCCGTGGACCCCAGAAGGCCGCCAGGCTCAGAGAAGGGCAGGTGGACGGATACCTAGAGCTCTGCAGGCGGACAGCCAGGAGCGAAGAACCAGTGCAGGCCAAAGCCACGTTTAGAACCCCCACCCCTTGATACTAAGAGAGGCTACACATACCTATTTCTCCACTCTTTCTGCATCCGTTGATCAGATCCACCTTCCACTTTCTTTCGGGTAACCCGGACTGCCTTAGGAAGTGGTAATTCTGGAGTTCAGCTGCATGGGGGTTGTGAGGAACATGCCAGGTACCTGACAGATAAAACCCCGTGGATTTGCTCTGCATTGGGCTCCGGCCATGAAGGAGGCTCAGTGGAGATTGCCGGGGTTGGATCTTGCCAGGAGTTTGATGCTTTGGGGCCACCTCTGCTGTGGCTCCACGCTTTTCCTGGCTGGTTCAGGCTGCCTGGGAAGGGATGTGCGATTGGGTTTGGGCCTCTTCAAGAGGCAGTGGTAGGCTGCTTGCTCGAGGGGTCACGACCCTCAGCCAAGCTTGCCTGGACAATTTTCGCCCTTCCTCCTTTAGGGCAGGTGTAGAGAAACGGCCACACTGCAGCTTTAGTGGACTCTGGATGGAATTGCTTTTTGTGCAGATTAGGTTAACCTCACTTGCTGGCCTTCCTCACAGCCCCAGAGATCTGACACTGACCCTGGGTCTCGGGCCCTGAGTGTCCTGTCACCTGCTTAGTGGTGAATGACTGTTGGGTTTCTCTCACGGGCCACGTGTTTTAATTTTTGTTATTTTATTTTTAATATTGTTCTCCAGAGTTACTTGCTGAGGTGGGCAGCCGCATACATTGATTAAATAAACCCGAGGAAACCTGCTTTTCCTAAAAAGTGGATTTTCCTAAAAGGAAACGGGAAAGTGAAAGAAATGCACAGAGGGGCAAATGAGCCGTCTCAGCAAACTAGGGAACGCAAAACGTTTAATACGTGAAACTGGTGCA